ATAAATAAATAAATAAATAAATAAATAAATAAATAAATAAATAAGGTAAGTGAAAATAATAAAGAACCAGCCGAGGGGACTTGGGGTTGGAGGTGCGCAGTGACACAGGTAGGGTAAATACAATGAAGAATAAAGCAGATAAACATCCTACAACCGACAAACTTCATTTCCATCAGTGAGCTGTATTTGAGCCAAATCATAATGCCAAAATAGCTTGGGAGATAAATATACCGCCACAGTTGAGATGCACCAGTGGTATACGTGCCTGGGGCCTGGGGCAGGGGTTTCCCTTGAGGGAGTCTTACCTAAATGAGGGACTGACCTGTCATTGGCCCGAGGTATCCATCTAGTAAACACAGAATATCTCTTATTTCGAAATGATGTGACCAAGTAGAGGCTGTTCTTGGTTTCCTTGTATTTCCCATTTACAGCAGGGAAGCCAGTTCCGTCTAACCCGACCTCTCCTGAGCTCCTCAACCACCCTCAGCGGGGGCCCAGGTCCTTCTTCCTGCCGGGGCCTGTGCAGCTCCTGGGGTGGGCATTCCCTTCTCCAGCCGCCAGGCCAGCACTGGGCAGCCTCCTGGCTCTCCCACTCCTGCCCCGCCCGCGGTGCACCCAAGGGAGGTCCTGTGGGTCCACCTTGAAGACCGTCCAGGGTGTGACCCTGCTCCCACGCCCTCCCCACCCCGCTGCAAGACAGGGGCCTCTCGCCCAGACCATCCACCCACCACCTCCCTGCCTCTGCGGGTCCCTTCCCTGCAGCAGCCACAGTGGGCACCAGAGTTCCGCAGACCACGTCTCTGCTGCCTAGCAACCTGCCACGGTTCGTGCCCCTCACAGCGAACGGGGTGTCCTGAGGGCCCTCGGGCCTGTGTGTGACCTATTGCAGCTCTGACAGATGAACACAGACCTGGCGACTCGACACCCAAACCAAAGTCTAAGTGGCCTTGCCGAGCTAAGACCCAGGTGTCCGGGTGTCTTTAGCCTCCACAGACCTCCCCTGGTCCTCAGCGTGGGGCCCCCCACCTTCCACGCCAGCAGACCAGCAGAGTGTCCAGGTCACCCCAGTGCTGACCGCCCTCCTGCCCTCCTCACAGCCAGTCCTCCACAGGAAGCCCCTTCCCGTGTCCCCCACGCCAGGCTCCCCTGAGCCCAGTCTCTTGGCGGCCTGCACCCCGGGGAGGGAGCACCCTGGCCCCAGGCCGTGTGGGTCTAGCAAGGTGGCAGGGGCCTTGGCCGTCTGAGAACTCACGCAGGGCAGACTCCGCGATTTCGACCCCACTTTCAGGTCATGGGTGGGCGAGGAGACGGTAGATCTGGTTCTTTCCAAGACCACGGGGACGCTGCTCCCTCTCTGGGCCCGGGTCGAGTCGTTGGAGACTGGTGGCGTGGCTGCCTGCTCCGAACCAAACCTGCTCAGGAAGTCGGGGTACTTCAGCCGCCCCTTGGCATTGACGGGCATCTCACTCCAGAGCCTGTCAAACTGGAAAGAAGCAGAAGTCATTTCCAGTGTCAGCGGGGCCCAGCTGGAGGCCATGGGCCTGGTGCAGAGTGGGACGGAAGGAGGGGAGTGAGGGTGATGTCGCTGGCAGGGGGCCCAGGCCCACGATGATAAAAAAGATTAAAAAAGGAAAAAATCCATTTGGCCTCCACTTGGCGGAAGCCTCTGGAAGACTGGGAAAGCCAAGACGAGGGGATTATTCATGGCTTCCGCAGGACATTTTTTAATTGAATTGGGCCCTTAGTGAGCAGTTTAAGGCCATTAAATCTTGTGATTAGTCACAGTGACTGAGCTGCAGTGTATAAAAACATTTTAGGAGAAATTGCAAATCAAAGCCTGGCCCGCCTTTGTCCCGGGGGGCCTCACTGCTCCCTCGCCCCTCAGACACCGCGGCAGCCCACCACCCCCAGGTTCGCATCCACCATCTACTTCACCCTCTGGGCAAAACGTCCTCTCCCTAGAACCCGGGAGAAGCTCGCGGCTCTGCGCTCGGCCACCTGTGCCACGCGCAGAGAATGACTCGGGGTCCCCTCAGTGACCACCTTGAGATGACCTGAGGGATTTCAGGAGCCAAGAAGAGCAGCAGCAGCTTCCGGCTGGATGTTTTGCTGAGCCCTGGGCCCAGTGGAGCCCAGCCTCCTCCGCAGGCTGAGCAGGAGCAGCCCCGAGAGAGCAGAGGGAGACGGAC